CTGAACACTTGGATTTTTCATTTCTCCAGGCTTTTTTCCCCCTCAGATTCTCCTTTCTATCATACCACCCCCATGACAATGATCCTGACCTTCTAAACCCACCAACTTAGAAAAAAGTTAAAGGGAACTGTGCTGTGGAAAGCAGCACAAGCCCCCAACCTTTCCCTCCTGCCAACTGTCCTACCAGTGCACACTAGGGAATAGCCTTTCTTTAAAGAACCTTTTTAAATCCCAGAACATGTTTCTGCAGTTGGCTTCCTTAACTTCACTAGTGACTATCACCTGCTGCTTTTTTCACGTGGCTTTAATTTCCTGCACTGGCCCTTTTGCTAAGTAGCTCTTCCTTCGTTGCAAGGGACCCTCCTCCTCTTTCTGAGCCCTTAGAGTAAGGGCAGGGCCACCACTTGGAGGAGAAGGAACTAGGTCTGATAAAGACCAAGCAAATCCTGCTGTGCATGTTTAGGGAAGCTCCTCTGGGCAGAGCTAGGAAGGGAGGTCAGCATTAACTGTTTCCGCGCTGTGGGGAATGGCGCTCACTCCTTGGTCTCGCTTGGCATTCAGGTGTCTTCTGTGTATGACTAGGCCTGCATCACTGTGAAGGAAATGATGTAAAATGAAGTCTTTGGTCACCTTCTCCTGCTGGTAGTAGCACATTGCTGCTGCTGTGATGGGATGAGGTTTCCTGTGGCCATCACAGGAGCATTTCCAGAATCCAAGTGAAGCTTCAGCAGCCCAATAAGCTTGCTTCACATAGCAGCTCTGCTCCCACTGCCTGGCCTCTGTGACACCATCTTCCCCTTGGTCAGCCTCCAAACAGCTTTTCCTCACATCCCAGCCCGTTCCCCTCTCTCCTCAGCAGCCAAGTCAGTCTCCTGTGGCCCAAGCGCAACAAACACCAAGCTCTTCTGCTTGGCCAGCTGTGAGAATCCTGCCCCACCGAGCCCCACGGGAGCAAATGTTGCTCCCCAATCCTTCCATGGCCTCTTGGCTTTTCCCTCTGGGCTGGCTGTCACCATCTCCCCCTCGCCCTGCTGATACTCTCCCCACCACACTGCTTCCCTGCCCCGTGGTCCCATGTGCCTCCCCTCGCCCGCATCACTGCACAACGGGCAGCTCATTCACGGGGCCTCAGCAAACCCTGCTTTTGATTTCACCCCCCACTGTTCCTCCTTTGGGCAGGAAACATATCCATTTTTCTTTTCTCATTTCTGTCCCAGTCTTACGCTTCTCTGTCAAATTCACAGGCTCAGCTTTCAGCTCTGTTCCTCCCTTCCTTGCCTGCTTTTACCCTGTGCCGTGTCCATCCCCCTCATCAGACCCCATTTCCCCACCCCTCTTCTAGTGAGCAATTTGACTCTAGCTGCCTTGGAGAGTATTTATTTTAACAGGTATATCCCTTAGTACACTGGATTAATATACCTGCTTATCTCTTCTCCCAGAGATAATTTTTCACACTGTAAATTAAACAGGAAAAGGAAAATCAAAAGCCAAAGGAATAGATTTATTTTTCAGTGCTCTCAGTGGAAGGCCCCTGCAAAGGTACATTTCACAGCACATATATAATTGCATAGATGATTAGTGAAACAATTGGGGCACTGGAAGAGAAGTGGGGCTGAGGCAGTTTATCAGTGTGGCTAAATCCCCCTCCGTAGCTGTTCTACAAAGCCTGTCCTGTAAGTCACTAAGTTTTCTTACCAGTACATTGGCTGCAGGGCACTAGTTTCTTGTTCAGAGCGCCAGCAGATGCAGGTTTTGCTGGGAGGGGCAGGACGGATGCCTAGGCACATGCAGCTCCTTGTTCTCCTCGTTGTGAACACAAAAGCCTGCAGGGAAACGTCACTGGCTGCTGGTGGCATTGCCCTTCCTGGGAGCAAAGGGGTCAAGGCAAGGTCTTGGAGGTCAGGAAGGTCTCCTGAGTCAACCGAGGCTCTTGAGTCAATGAACAGAGAAAACAACCAGCTTGTGTTAAGAAATTTTTATTTGTCCTTTGGATCTGTAATGTAAGCACATAAAATTACAAGTGGAAGAAACATCATGCCACAAAATTGCATAGAATTTTTACAAAAATGTGAATTATGCCTCTGAAACAATCAATAGATTGAGGAACCGAAAAAATATGTACATGTTAACTGAAATACTTCATCCTACTTCGAAAGCAAATCATCAAGGACTAATCAATCACAGACACTAGTAATACAGTGTACAAGAGCAACACTGATTTCAAAGAAAGGCAAGCAATGATGTCCCTTTAGTTATCTTTCAGTGACTGTTTAGCTAATACATGAGCATTAATGAACATAATTATGAACATGTTAAATCTAAAATGTCTGGCCTTCAGTAGAACTTTTAAAATTCAGTTGATACTGCCAAAACCAAGCTATTTTCAGTAGTGTAAAGATATCTGAAGTGCACGACCTAGTTTAATATAGACAGCTCTATTCTATACAGCAGAAAGTCCACGATACAGCATTTCCACACATTCAACACGGAACAAGGCAAAATACATAAAAGGCACAAGACTTGCACATCATCAAGACCCTTTTTTTTTGTGTTTTCATTATCTTACTCTAGTTCAAGTAATACCAATATTAAATGATATCAGTTTCACTGAAATAGGCTGAACGATGCAAGATGTACAGCGTTACACACTACCTTACACCTGCAGAAAGTGGCACTGTACAGATATAAAAAAATGTGAGTACAGGAAATGGTCAAATACAAACGTACTGTAAAATGACTACAGCTGAGAGTATAGTTCATCCAACCAGTATATTTATGTACTTGGAAATATAAATAAAAGGATAAGTGGGATTTGCCCGAGTTTGAAGACTGTGGTGAAGTCCTGGCTCCACTGCAATTCAAAGGAGCTGAGATTTGACCGGGAAGCCTGCGCTGTACAATGCTTTCTGTAATGCAATAGTCTTCAGTTGTATTGTGAACACTGCTATCAGTTCATTCTTCTAATAATTTAGACAATATGTCCTTTTGACTTTATAAAATGCAGCATTACATCTCGACTCTCTACATTTTCAATGAGTGATTAAGATTGATTTCAAAGTGCAAAACAAGGAGTAACAGAGGATTCACCTTTCCTAGCATTAAGATGAAAGTCAGATTGTTGAATTTCATGTTCACTAATCTCCTCATCATAAACCAGAACAGTTTAATCCAAAATACGACCTCCAAACAATGTGCAATTTTTCTTTCATTCTACTCTTTAAGTTTAAAAAAGAAACATCAAAATACTGTTTGTTTTCCAAGATTTGAACTTATATATATACACACACCATTATTTAACTGGAAACTTAAGCTTGATTTGTATTTTATTGCTTAAATTTAAATAAAATAAGTTACTTTAAAGTACTAAAATCCTGAGGGAATGGAAGTAAAGTAACTTAACTGTTACGATGCATTAAAATGCCTCCCTATGTCACGGGCTGCTTTATCCAAAGGCTTTCCTGATCTTGCAAACATGAATGTGACCGTTACTCCCCAGGTGAGCTGCGCTGAGCCCAGTTTGCAGGATCAAGCCCCTTGACGCAAATCTGCATCTTTGGACCTAGTTTATCCTTTGCTCTAAGATGCCTCTTTGTACAGCTAAGGGAAAGGCCTTTACCATCATGCATTGGCTTGGGTACGAACAAGGATCTGCCCATAATGTTTCACAATTCCTGCTTGTTAGTCTGGGAATGCAGAGAATAGCATTTCTTCACCTTTTCAAACCTCCTGACTTTCACAAAGTCTCTCTGTCGTCTGATAGAAATGTCTCAAAATGTGCTGTTACTTCTCTCATGCATATCATACAGTACACTAAGTTTGATTGTTCTTACTTTAAGTAGTCAGTTAAATGGATTAATATACATTTTTAAATAACCGTGATCGGGTTTTTTATAGTTTGCTTTTAAATTTCAGACCTTTGTAAAACTGAACCTCAGTCTTAAAAATAATGGAAGATTCTGTTAAATTTCAAACACTGTAGTCCTAAACCTTTTATAATCCTATCAAATTTGGTAAGCTTAAAATATGATACTTAAAATCAATACTTCTGAGTCTGCAAAATAGATATCAAATTTATATTCTAAAACTACTTTGATTTACAACACTAACACCACAAAAAAAGAATTTCATGATTCAGTGACTATTTCATAGCAGTATATCCCAGATGTTAGCTTTCATAAAGATTCTCTCTACCCACGTATCCCTGAAGCATTTCATTTGGCCAAGAGACCATGCTTACTTCTAAATAGAAACATGCTGCGTGTGTACAGATGGATGTGTGTGCACATATAGCTATATATATACACAAACATATATGCACTCACACAGTGTAACAAACACAGACGTACACAGACACCAGCAATCCCCAGGCAGAGTTCTTCTCCTTGTTTTCCTCTTGTCCCCACAGTTCCAAGAATTTTCAGCAGCAAATAGATTTCTTTCCATGTGATAAACATCATCTCAAGACAGCAAGCCACCAGTGCTTGCAAAGCTAAAAAGGATTACATGTTTCAGTGCAAATGTAGAATGATGGTACAGCTGTCAAGGTGCAGTTATAAAGAAGGAAACAAATACGATTAAGTACTGTTACAATATTCGCTAGGATCTGTATTAGTTTGGAGCACTTTGCACTGGCACTTCCAAAGGAAATCTGCACACATTTGTCTCTGTACAATACACTGGTCTTCATTAAACATTCTTAGCAGTGAACATGGCCACAAAATTACCCATTGTAAATTGGCCAAAGAGAAGAGAAAAAAAGAAGAGAGGATGGTTAACATATTAATTTTCCCATTACAACTGCACTAAGCTTTAGAATAATAATAAGGTGAAGAATGAGAATGAAGACCTTTGCACAATACTTGTTATAAAATGTTCCTTGTGGGAAATGTGCGCTTGAATGCAGATTCCTCCTGCCCCCCAGGTGCTGCAGCGGGAGCTCACATCGGGATCGCGGAGCCGGGGAGCGATGCGCCTTGGTGCACTGATTGTTTCCTGGGCAGTTAAAAAGTAGTATCGAACACCTTTTCCGGGTTATCTTCTTCCAATTCCTCTTCACTTTGCAGAGGTTTATGATTTGATTTTCCACTGTCAGATGTCAGGGAAGAAGGGGCAGAACTGTGGTCTCCATCTTCACTGATTTTCCCTTTCATGGCTTCCTGTACAAACTCCAGAATTTCCAAAGGCAGTCTTTTGAATTTGTCTTGGTATTCCTGATCAAGTTCCACCTGCAACTACAACAAGAGAGACAAGCTGTCTTCAGGTGTATCTAATGCCACCAGTGCTACAGTATGGGACAAGTACCACACAAGGCGGGGTGGGGGGGTTAGTAACACGTTTTTGCAGGATTCAAGAATATATTCCTTTCTTTTTCACATTAGTGCCACACATCCAATACACCTGTGGATTTCCATGCAGTCACAGCAAAGCTGAAGGAACGTGCGGTCATTTGTGGATAAGGCTGGTTTTGGGTACCATCCTTGGGTGCCCAAATCCGTGGATTTAACTGTATTGGTGTCCATACTCCCACTGGCGTTCACAAGACCCGATTCAAGTGTAGTATGGACCACGGACAAGCCTTTCAAAGAGCAAGGCCTTTATTAAGCATCAGGTAGCGAATCACACATTAATCACAGCACAAACATTGCTCTGGGAACAATATCATAACTTTTGCCAGATTTCAAGGGTTGGAGAAACCATTAGGAAAAAGTCGGTTGTCAAAGGGAGGCAAAAAGGGAGGGAAAAAAAGTTAAATCACATTTCTGAGGGCCAGATCATGGAAAGTTACATTATCTGATTAATGCAGTATGAGTCTTGGACATTACTGGGGAAAAAGTGTCATATCATCAACAGGATGCAAAAGGCATGCAGAAAGAAATCTGGCTATCAGTCTTCAGGAAGCTGTGGGTCCTTTCCCAGTATTTATTTGTCGAGCTTTTGTTTTTAGTGCCCATATTAGGATCTGTACGATCTGTTCTTTAAAACACATCAATGTGTATGAAGGTTTCAGCTGAAGACAAAGCCAATTTTTTCATCGTGACCAATATGAGCACAGCAGGAAGCAGAAGGGGTGAGTTCCAAAGCCAAACCCGCTCCATCCATCCAACCAACCATCCATACATCCACCCACCTTCTTAAAAAGAGGGAGTCAGGTTCTGCTAACTGTAGCTGCAGCAGTTTTGCAATAGTTTCTTAGGCAACTGTATTTTGAGCTGTATTTTTTTCCAGGATGCATGAAGGTGCTATGAATTCTGATCCTTCAGCTCTATGCTCGAGTCTGTCCTATCTGGTTTCAAGTCTCCTTCGCCCCATTGCAATGGCTCTCGGCAGGTAATACAGGTTTTCACTTCAACATTAGGACCTCTGCTAGTCTTACCATCCTTGACCTGTCCACAGCACGTGACTCTACCGCTATCCCTCCCTGTGAGCCCTTCCCATCCCATTCCCTACGCTTCTGTCCTGGTTTTCATCCTGCATCTCTGACTTTATTTTTGTGAGGCCTCTTCTCCTTTCTCCTCATATGCAAGTTAACGTCCTTAGCTCACCTGGTCTAGTTCTACATTCCTTAATTAGACAAATTTTGCAGCTTTTCTTCCTCAAGACCTAGGATCTAGCTTTTTCCTTTTGGCTCCCTGCCTTCTTTCTGGCAAATTTCCTGCTGTTCTGGCCTCAGTTTCCCACCTCAGTATTACAGTGCTGATAGACACCAGGTCTGAGGCACAAACAGTTCCATTAAGTGCACCCTGACACTAAGATATCTACTTGTATCAACTGTTAGACAATCACTACCATAACACCCTTCTTTCACTTGGAACCCTTCTTTTTTTCCTGAACTTCCTTTGTTTTCTGGCTTTATCTCTAGATACAAAGGGGATCCTCCTTTTATCTACATTTAGATAACACTTCCAAGAGTACCTGTATTATCAGAGGAAGAGATGCTGATCATCCCTCACTGCCCAGCTCACCACTGGGGCCCTGCAGCCCCAAGACTCCCCTCCTGCTGCCCAGGGAGCTTCCCAGCCACCAAGAGATCACATCTGCTGTGGTCCCTGCTTCAGAGTGATGGCAGCATGGCCCTCATGTAGGTCATATTGCAAACCCAAAGATTATGTTCTAGGTAAAAGGTCTACAATCATGGTGCAATCATACTTTTGGTTACAGTTCATTGCTAAATACCTGCACTGCTTCAAAAGAACAGGAGGGAGGGAGGGGAAGGTGACTCCTTCTGTTTATTTATGACAACTCCCAAAAGATCACAGTTAGAGAGAGATCTGTGCCAAACATGGGACAAAACATTCCTTGGGTTAATCTGAAACAGCAGCAATGGCAGAGGCAGTGTTGGTTTAATGGTTGGATTCAATGATCTTAAAGGTCTTTTCCAACCTAAACGATCCCATGACACTACACATGCCAAGTGCCACTATCTTTCCCTGTTCAGGAATCCTTGCAGCTGGGCTCTGGGCTGCTGATGCAGATACACAGCAGTGTCCGAGCACCCCACAAAGCCAGGTAAAGTTCCTGCAGGGCGAGGCAGCTCTGCATACAGTGTTTAATACATCTAGGAATTGTGGGAAAGGATCCAGAACACTGGGAGTCAAAGTTTTATAAAAGGGCATGAGTTTATACAGAAGTGTCCGAGGCAGAGAGGCACCGCTGCATTTCCCCACCTCATTGTCATACACGGAACTACTGCACTTGTAAATGCTGGGCACCTCAGGCATAGGAGAAGGAATGTAAAATCAAAAGTCAGAGAAGGTCTCTCAGCTCTCAACTTCCTTCAGAACCTTAATTTGCTTAATTAGGTTTAAGAGCAATAGAAATACTTGAAATCCCTCAGAAACTGAACGTTATCTGAACCCAGTGCAACCATAAGCATGTTGTTAGATAGCAACTGTGTCTCATACTCACATCCTAAAGTGCCGCCAGTGGATAATCCCTCCCAAGTCAAGCGTTTAATAGAAATGACATGAATCTGGAGCTACCTCTCTCTTCAGTGTCTCCAGAGACAGTCTATATAGATATCTAATCATGAGAAGGTTGAAGTTAGTTGAGAAGGAGCAGACAGCAGACAAGGAGGGTTGATTAAAACTGCAACAGTGTGTAAAAATTAGTTTGCTTTTTGATTTCAAAGGCACTCTTAGTCCTTCCCCTTGCTTGGCCTCAGAGCCCATTCCCTAACTCCCAAGCTATCACACAACGCTCCAGCTGCAATGGAGAGCACACGGGGTGAGCCAGGGCACAACTGCCCAGCCCCACTGCCAGCCCCACCACCCCACTGGTCTTCCTCAGCAAATCTGGGGCTTGCAAACCCACAGGAGTCTCACAGTGCATCAGTTATTACCCTCCTTAAACCACCAGCCCTGGCACAACACTGGCAAACAGCTGTGGGTCAAGGTTAAAGCAACAAGTCACCTGCTTAAACCAGCTGGCTCAAACCCCCAGCTGTTTTCATTTTAAAAGCCTGAGTATCCTTCTATTAGACAATGACAACCATATTCTGAGGCTTTACAGGGACACACAGCTCATCTGCTAATGGAAAGCTGCCCTCCTAGCAGTTCATCATGTATGGCTTTTACTTGGCTTGCTGACAGCACGACAAAGTGCCATGTCAGTGTGTGTAAGTAAAAACCTCTGTGCACAGCCAGCACCCCACCAGACTCCCGCCCAGCGTGGTTCCGTTTGCTGTCCCCTTGGGTTGCCTCCCATCACAGGTCCACCTACCCCCATTTCTCTGTTCTCTAGCTACTGAACAAGGTGACCTACACTTGCTTGTAGGATTTTGGAGCCAGACAAGGGGAGGAAATGAGACTGATGAGTAGACGGGCAGATTGTTATCTAGACCACTGTTCCCATTAACACGACAACCTTTTTCCTTCTGTTATCTCACTATCTGCCCTCTTATAGATCCTGTGTCCTCTCTTTAACCCCCAACAAAAATGACTTATTGATAATATCACCTCCATGCAACTTTAGTATCCCCCAAGGGGTTGGACACATGATTTCTTGTTCAGGTAAATTATGCTCCCATATACTTTACTTACAGGCAGTGAGTTAAGACTTCAAATATTTGGAGCCATCATTAAGTGTTTGCAGCAGGGTCCTTGGGGATGTGAAATGAATGTGTTAGTCATTCTTGGTGTCTGTGGGCAGAAGCTCCAACTCTTGAATATATGCTTCTGTCTACCTACCCTTTAGTTTATTTACCCAACAGGGCTAGTTAAAAACATCAGCTGATATTCACATCAGCTTTACAAAATGGAAAGTATCAGTATGACTATCCCCAAGTTACAGAAGGAGGCGAGAAATTAAGTTTAGGTAGGGATCAGCTTGGGAGGTGCCATCCTCAGCTGCCTTTAGTTGGAAAAAGCTGTCTTCCACCCCATTTCTGTGATCACTTATCAAACCAGACATACACTAGCACAAGCTTGCAATAGGCTGTGGACCACTGGGTCACCAAGTTGTCCTGCTCAGAATAAAGCAGACATGGTGAGGCTTTGACTGCGACTGTCCTGCCTCTTTAGCTATACCCCACAAGGGTTTATTTCCATAGGCAAGCTGTGCCTGAGGGGCCCTTTGCCTTCAGCCAGCCGTTAGGCAGTGTGGGTGACAGAGGGCTCATGCACCCTTGTGTCCTAGATGAACACCACAGTGTCCTCTGAACCTACAGCCCCTTGCTGTAGGGACAGAAATCGAGTGGGGCTTTACATGACCAAACCCGTGCCTCTGAGCTCCTGGTGGGCAGCCAGCTGCCCAGCTGATCTGCTCACATTCCCTTTGAATTCCAAGGGCTCCTGGGCATCCTTGGCTACAACCACTTTCCAAAAAGGGTCATCATTCAGAGAAAGGCCTCAGCAACCCTTCCTTGGAATGTGGGAGGGGAAAATGAATATGGTCATTCAGCTTAAAGCAAGGAAAATGCACTCAGAAAAGGAAGTGAGAGGTGTTATTAAAACTATTTAAAGCATTCATACCTAGCTGTTACTATTAACTACCAAAATAAGATAGCATTAAAATAGCCACCAGAGCATTAAAAACAGTAACTGTGATCAATAAAGAATTACAGAAGCAGAAGTAGTGGGTTTAGACTATCCTGACCAAGCCCCTGTAGACTTTTGCATACTTTCAAGTGCTCTAATGAACTTCTGTTTCTACCAAGAACAAAAATAAAGCCATCACATGAGAAACACACTGTGTTGCCAACACAAGTTACCAGGAGGACTTGAAGACAAGAGGT